TCCGATATACTGGGATATTTGTAGTTGTCTGGGTGCAGTGGATCGCAGATTATACAGCGTTGTAATTCATGCTCGCCAAGCTCAATATTTTGCATTTGCAGCTCCTCGTTATCCAGCAGTGGAGCCTGCAACAGCACCGTACTTTACTACCCAGGATGACGACAGTAAATTTACAGTACAGTACAGTCAAGTTGTCTTATTACAGTGTACAGTACATTGCCGGACTGTAGAATACAGTACATTGTACTGTGCTGTACTGTAGGATTCATTTCCAGGCCAAAATCGGCGGTACAAGTTGTGATTTGCTAATCATTCCGTATGAAGCTTCTACAGTACAGTACAGTACAGTACTGTACTGTAGAGATAGGATAACTGCAGAACCTGATTAAGATGATAAAATAGATGTACTGTAGAGTATGGCTAAATGCCTAAATAGTAACAAAAAACTGATGTAATGTAGTCCAGTATGGCTATACTATACATACATTGCAGTGCTGTGCATCAAATCTAAAAAGAGCAGGCTACACTTCAGTGTTTCAATTTACTGTACTCTTTCATCATTGACGTACTTACACTTACACTCATACCAAAGATTGGCGTTCAAAGCATTCTTAAAACTACGAAATATTGCAACAGTTTCATTGATGACTGTATCTTTCTGATTACTGCGCATGTTGCTTACGCCAATCCTCCGGTTTACGGTACTGTAAATGTACAGTACAGTACTGTATGAATGAGTCGGACTAACAGTTTGACCAGGCAGGTACAGTACAGCACTGCACTGTAATCAGATCAATGCTAGATTGCTAGTGCCTCCTCTTGTAGGTGTTGGAGGGGTGTGTTCATGTCATGCCGGTGTGGTATATTCGGTGTTGTGTATAGCTAAAAAATAGAAAGGTTGTCAGATTTTATCAACACTGTATCGCACGACAATTTTACTTGCAAAGCCACACAATCATGACTCATTGAAAGTCAAAAGTAGGGTTTAAAGCTCATGTCGATGACTCATATCAAACTCTATGTATCCAATTTTGTACCTGAGCGTACGGTGTACTATACCAACCAACGATTCAATGAAGTAATTTATTTCATAATTGTCCAACTTGAAAGTAGTAAGTAATCAATGGAATTGAATCATTTAGGATGTGATGGACTACAGTAGCAATATCGTATTGTAGGGTACAGTAGAAAATACAATTATTTTTAGAAATAAAATACTTGACTGTTTTTGCAATGCAATACTGTATGATGAGAGTACATGGGAGGCTGCGCTGTTGCGTCATCATGAGAAAATCGGTGCAAACGGCTAAGTTTATGAGAATGATTTACTTGATAATGTTGTTGACCAGTAGCATTGGCTCATCCAAAATATTTGTCTGATATCTGTGGTATGTAAGGACAGATAAAGGTATCAATTTAGTGTACTATACTGTACTGTATCGTAGAACATGATCGAAACGTGTTTTGATTGTACCGCACTGTATAGTACTGTATATTATTTCTGTACTTTCCCAGAGGTAATTCATTCAAAACTATGATGTAAAGATAATAAAAAATAGATAAAAAGAAATACCGTTCATTGCAGACCTTACTATATATATTGTACTGTACTGTAGGATAGTATTGATTAATTCGTTATCTTATCGGTCAAATTTCTTTTCTTTTATTATTGTTTTCCTTGAAATTGGAAGTGATTTAAATTGATAAGAATTGTGATTGTTTGCAGAAAATTAATGATGATAATGATGTTTATTTATGCCGCTATTTTCTTGTCTTATTGACAGTACTGAACTGTACAACACAGTATACAGTACAGCACAGTACAGCGTGACTACAGTCTGCAGCGAATCGCCTTGTTGTTGAACTACAGTACAGTACAGTACAGTACAAGCAGAATATACTGTACTACTGTGCAGTACTGTACTGTACTGTACAGAGGTGGTTACCACTACAGTACTTTAACGTACTTGTACAGTACAGTACAGTACTGTACTGTACAGTAGTACCGTGCAGTATCGACTGATAGCAGATGTACTGTACAACAATCAATGACTTTGTATCGCAGATCATGGTAAACGATGGAAAGATGATCAACGATCATGTACGATCATGTTGGTATCATTGCAGGATATCTGATCAGTAAAACCTTGGATACTTTTAGCATTCACGATGACTGCTATACAGTACAATAATGAATCGGGCGTCTTTTCAAAACAATAGCATCACCTCATCACCGTATGACCTGTAAAAATAATGGTATGACTGGTCTCATGGTGGCATAATACCACAAACCAATACAAGCCGAGAGAGATAATCCAGTCACAGTAGTGTCCGTTCGACTCATTTCAGCCAAAAGATTCTGAATCATGGTGCTCAAATTAGCATACGTTGATACTATACTGAAGCATGGAATAGATCATGTCCATTTGTATGTTTTACTGTATCTTACACATTGTACACTACTCATATTCTACCGTACTGTACATCATGACGAATGTGACATATGAGATAGTACTTTGAATACATCAGTCATTTATCTGTGCATGAAATAGAATTGATCACAGACAAACAAATTTAGACGATGAAATGTGATCACATTTGTAATTTGGCGTTGCGTTTTGTACACTACCTTCACCATGAAACTAAACAGAGTAAACAACATGAACAATGCACTTGTGCTGACTTGTACTGACTTGTAGTGCGTACTGTATATTACTAGAATCAGTCTGACTCAGTCTACGGTCTCTTGATGGCAACAGCCATAGCCAGCCAGGTCCCAGCGGTGTTGCATCAGAACTACATAAAAACAACAAAAACAATACGTTCAAGGACAAGGTACGGTACAATACAATTGCCTTGTCACGCTATTTTTTGTTGTTGTTGAACCATGATATCAATTTGGCCTGGACATTTTACTACGGTACTGGAAGTCTTGGGCCAGCGTACTTTGTACCGCGCAGTCCGGTACTGTGCATTGTACTGGACATACTGTACTGTAGGATGACATGAGCCTTGACAGGATGGCATGAGCCTACACAGGATGACATGAGCCTTGAGCGTGCGCGCTGCAGCACAGTATGAAGTATTGTGAAAGGTCATGCCTTATCACAAAATGACACATCTCGTAGGCGTATTCTCACATCGTTAAAGAGTCTGCTCCATTGAATTGTACTATCCCTCGTGTTACGACCTCAGGGTAGAAAGTTTCTACAGTACTATACTGTACAGTAGAAACCAAGAGTTACAGTACAGTGCACAGTAGAAACCCATCCACACACCTGGGCATGCTTTTCTTGCAAATGTACTGTACACTGTACAGTATGTCAATATGTAATAACAACACTTTGGCGATTGTGGAACTAATTATGACGTCTACAAGTTCAATGTAATAGTAGGCTGTCTCCATCGACAAACGTTGGCATTTGCGCTTGTAGCGTTACCGGTAGAAATCAGAGTGAAGGCACAATCGTTTTCATTGACGTAGAGTTGAACAGACTGGAATTCTTGCAATCTCTATCAAAATGGGTATCCAATATGATGAAGACAGCAAGATGAACCCTCATTTGGATAGGTTTGCTACCTATCGACGTCGTTGGTATATTTTAGCAATTTTCTCTGTTTTATGCTTTACGCAAGGCATGGTATGGAATACATGGGGTCCGGTTGCAACATCTGCTGAATATTATTATGGTTGGACCGATAGCGATGTAGCCATGATGGCCAATTGGGGAACCATTATGTATGTAGTAACCGTGTTTTTTTGGTCCTACTTATTCGATACAGTAGGTAAGATCAAGATAAGCGAACCGATCAAGTGAAGTTGATTGTATCGCATGGTATCAACATGCTACTAGACTTTTGTATTACTGTACACTATGATAACATTAGCGATCAACATTGATCCAACATGGACACTTTATACAGCGATTGCCACTCGATACCTTACTATAGTCAGCCGTACAGTACATGATCACGCCGGAGTCCTCTACCTTACAGTCCACGCAAATAGATGATAACCTGTAGCATAGTAGCTGTGAAATTCTTGCAATTGGAATTTGGATTTCATCTTTAGTAAAGTACTGCATGCAACATTATCATCAGGGCGTGCTTTTCCAACCTCGATTTCCTTTGGCCAATTGGAAATGATAATGAATCGAGTTTTTACGCCTAATCATTGATCAATAAATTCAAATTGTATAATCGGATTACTGCATAGCTCGCAAGGAATTCCAGTATTGGTGATCGCAAAAACTCCTTGAACTTCTGTACGCGTAATCATGTACGTTACTCAATGGCCGACGTTAGCCAACTACATGATTCAACACAGTGGTACAATATTATAGGTTGCTGCGTTGCATTGCACAGATTGTAGTACAGTATATCAGGGCTACTAGAAAGAAACCGATACATTTCCTTCTTGTACTCTAAAAAGATATTAATCGTGATAGACTGTTGACCTAGTAAAGTAGAAAACGAAGTTCGTTATAATGCTTGCAAAACGATAGGAGGATTGCAAAATTGGCAATGGAATGAACATCAATGACTAATAGTTAACATTCAGCAACATGGATGTCCCAGACGCCACTGTACAGTCCGTACGGTACGGTACTGGATGCTAATAATCTACAGTACTTATACTGTAGTTGGATTCCGTCCGATAATACCGTACTGTACCGTAGATAATGAATCGTCGTCGCGTACCGTACAGTACAGTGTAAAAATGTTACCGATGTCCAGTTGCGTCCGCATGGACGGACGGATGAGGGCATGGATCGGAACATCTGATTCAGATAATCCGATAATCCGCAGAAAATCAGACAGCAAGATCGACAGACTCTGAATATGTTCATTCAAACGGAAATTACGCCCCTTTGCAAAAACATGTTGAAAGTCAAAAATAGACATGGATTATTTTTAGACCTACCTGTCAGTGCATGGCCTTAACTATCTTGCATGCTGCTGCAGAATGATGGAATTTCAATGAATGAATGCCATACTCGAGTAAACTACTTACTGCAAGCACCACGGTTCACATTAATGTAGTCTGACATACGGACTGCGTGCTATAGATTGAACTTGTAGTCACTTAGTGTGCTAACAAATCCATAGGTAATCCTAATTCTGTAAAAACCTTGCCAGAAGGAGTCATTGATTCATTATTATAATGATACGTGTACCTCGATGATATAGTATTTATTCGTTCGATACTCATGACAAAACCCATGTTTATTCTAGGTTCTAGAATACCCATCGTATCCGCCGCATTTTGCATCGCCTTAGGGACTGGATTGAGAATCATTTCTAGAGAATCCGCAGTTGCAACCCCGTAAGTAATAACGAAGCAGCGCACTATTACCAATTATGTTTTGCTAGGAATAGCTATCACAAGGCAACGTCATATTACGTTACTGTACTCAATATTCTATTTAACCTACTGGATAGATTACGGTCATGCAAAAGCGTTGCAATTAGGTCACTGTCACTTATGAACAAGATGAGCGTGCTACCAATGCAGAATCCATGCATCATAACGGCTCATTTTTGATAAGTACAGTGATGCTTCTATTATCGAGATATCGACCTTAAAAGCCTTTTAGCTACATAGATAATAGAAGATCTTGACACAATCTTCGTTAACAATTCAATATAAAATTGCAATCAGTACACCTACGACAACAGAAAGCAATCGCGGATGACAAGTTGTACTTGTCCAGTCATTCCTGCAATATTTTACACACTTACAGGCAATGATATGGGCATCAGGAAGAGAGTAACTGCATAATTGGATTAACTTTTATTATAATTTTATTGATAGATTAATTCATATTGCTCAAATATTAAATGGCTTTGCGGGTCCCATAGCACTCGGTGGACCACCAATCATATCTGCCTTATGGTTTCCTCCTCGTCAACGAACCACGTCAACGGCCATAACGACGATTTTTAGTTACCTTGGTGTCGCAACTGCTTTCGTACTTGGACCTAATATGGTATATGAGGTCAAAAATGCTACTGATACCAATAGTAGCGTGTAAGTGCTAGCTTTTCCTTTTATTAGTAGTGCAACGATACAACACTAAAGCTTACTTTATCATACTATATAAAATGGAACATCAACTGTAATACAGTCACTGGCATAAACTATAATACAGTGTTTTTTAGGCTTATACGGAATGGGATGAATGGGCTAATTATGTATTTTCATTCATATTGTTGTCTTACAGACCAAAGTCAAATCTTGTATTCTATTTAAACTCCACAAATTCGGGTACGTAGCTCGCTTCATTACTTTCCGAGATTGTATAGTCACTGGCACCTCTTCGGATATTGTCTATCCCTTCTACGATATGCCAAAATTAATTCTTATTTCAATGAAGCAGTTAAAGTAATACGTAATTTGAGTTAGTAAACATCAACTGATCTCAAACAATTTTTACAAATTCATTGTAATCTACGGTTTGCTACCTGAACCACGTTGCCCTGCAACGAAATATAGTTATGATATATGCGAACTATACAAAATACTATGTAGCCAACTCTGTTCAGCTAATGATATTTTTACTGTAGATAAAGGCAACATTGTGATGATTCTCTAATAATTAATCTATCATTGACTTCCATTACTTAGATGAAATTCGACAAAAAGTTGGTGATCAAATGTGGGACTTTTTATTGATAGGTACCACCAATTGAATTATCGATACAGCACCATTAAGTTTATAAATAACTGTTATCGATCCGGACACTTACTAAAGTTATATGCTCTAAATATAATTATCTTTTTCCTCTCTGTGTAT